ATTTATGAAGGATCCTGTGACCCTGGAGTAATGATGCTGAGAATTTAGCTTTGATCCCAGAAATAATATATATATTTTTTTTTTTTATTTTTTTTTGTCATTTAAACATCATTGTTTACATAGTAATGCTGGAGACCAGAATGCTGGTGACAAGAAAGGAGAAGATAAGAAAAACCTGTACAGCTATGTATTGTCCTTCTACTCTCCTTCATCGTGGCGGAGGCCATTGGTGTGTTGGCAGTCAACATCTACATTGAAAAGTACAAAGAGGTTCATTTCAAACGCTTTGAGTTTATTAAAACTGCCACCTCCCCCTTAGCCTCCTCCTACACGAGCATTCCAAATGACCATTACAGACAACAGTTCCAGTCCTATTCTCAGTCCACAGAGCCATCTAAAAACACTTCCTCTGCCACACTTAGCGCCACCAGCTCCTCACTGCCTTTGGGGGACATTTCAATGTATACGGTGGGGAAAGAACATCCACTAAAGGCAGGTGCTCTGGCTGCCTATAACACTGATCTTGAACATACCAACTTCCTGCAAGTTCACAATCGTGTCTAGACCAATATGTGGGGGTGCTAAGAAAATAAATGATATTGATGACGTCAGAGTAAACCGGGGCTATTCAAAATTCTGACGGGGCTATAGCCCCCCCTAGCCCCGTGTTAGCGCCGTCTCTGACTGTTTACGTTCACTTAAAACAACCGACTGTGCTTACAAGGATACTTGTCAATACAGCCATTGGTATTCACCTGCTGTCTGAGAAGGCTATCTGTTTGTGCACTTCAGATGTGTGCGTGGTGCGCATAGAAACGCTTTATCACAGCGTGTGCGTACCACATTGAGATGTCTTGGGCTTAAATGGCTTAAAATTACTTCAATGTTTAAACTGACAAGACTTAAAACACGTGGGAATGAAATCTATAGTTTAAAGGTCTATAGTTTACACAATAACTAAATGCACATGGCTTGCTGATAAAAACTCGCTGATCAAAATATTCTGTCATCACATGCAAAAAGATTCATTCAGTTATCAAAATCTGTCAGACATACTGCATATGTCTTCCATAAATACTGTATATATGACATGGAATGTTTTCTGTTTATAACACATTGATACAAAAATAAATTTAATGCATACATACAAATGTGTTTATTTTTTTCTTTGTACTTGTCATGTTCGCTACTGTGAGGGAGCGCAGAGTGAGGAACGAGGAGACGTGGAGTACATCAACAAGGAGACTTTATTCACATCAAGGGAACCAGGAAAACACACGTAGCAGGAGAGGTTGACATATACAATACCGGACAGCAAACTAGGAACTCGAAACACTTTAAATACACAGGACATGACGAGGGGAAGACAAGAAACACCTGAGATCAATAAACATAATAGGAACAGCAAAAGGACGAACCAAATATGGGCAATGAAACACATGGGGAGCAAAACACACACAAAACACGGAACAGAGTCTGACAGTACTACAGTATTTTTTTTTATTTTTTATCTGCCGTTGAAATATGTATGTGAAAAGCTCAGTGTGATACACAATAGCATTCAACTACACAAA